GGGGGCGGGCGTGGTGCGTGGTGGCGGCGCCGTAGTTGGGATCAAGCGCCGACAGGCTGCTAGCGGGTAGCACGCTACGCTGGTGCTGCTCCTCCCGTCTACAACGCTCCAGAGGCACTAGCTGCGTGACCTTACTCCTGACTTTGGTAACTTCATCGTTGGAGCACCTATTGAGGCTTCCTTTGCCGTGAGCGTGCCATATATGTCTAGTCAAGGTGTTAGGGTAAAAGTAGTTGGATGAGAAGGTCTAGGGATGCTTCGGACATTGATCTGGAGTTTGACATTGTGGACCTTATTGGACCCACAGGTCCTAGGGATCTTAAACTTTGACACAAGTCAGCTCACATGCAAGCATACATACAACAGACCTACCTACCCTGTATACTCCATGTATTTAGCTCTCAGTTTGTGAGATCTGATGGGGCAAAATCCCCCCCCCCCCCACACACACACCCAGAGCGGTGCATTCAACGGGCCGCTCTGGGCGCGTGATCATGTGCGCGAATCATTGATAGTATCATACGGTACGAACGCGTCATCTGTATAATTATTCACCAGTTCATGGGCACCTCTATATTTATATATACGCACGGCATGCTAACAACTTGTGTTAAAGGCAAGACACCGACCATGGACGTGCCTTCATCAGCAGCTTGACGCTCCAGATGAATGATGGAACCGGGAAGAGCTGATTCATAGAACGAAAGAGACCTGTTTTTCGTGGCCTTAATTTTGCTGCTGATTGCTGCGTCGGAGGCATGAAGGTGAATTTGCACAGGAAAGCCTGTGCGTTTCCCTGGAAAATTTGGTCCGGCCATTACACGAATTGTATAACCTTGGCGATGTGGGGATGATTCACGTCTTTGAACATCCACATCTGAAAGCAACGCTTGCCCTGATTAAATAGTCCTCTTGCGTCGTTAAAAGGGAGTACAATACACTAGAGGTGCTATCGCATCAACTCGTCCCAGCCCACATAGGTTGAGCAAGGTCTGGAGGAAAGTCACAACACCCAAATTAGCACGGCCAGCGAGTGTGAACGCTGGGCGTCCTCAACTTCCGGCCGAAAGTCCCAACACCAAAGCAGCACGATCAGCGAGTGTGAGCGCTGGGCGTCCCCAACGTGGAGGACCCTTTGTTTTTGCCCAGCCAGATGACAACCCTTTGCCTTGACAACTTTATGTTTTTTAGACGTGAGAAGTAGATTGAATAAAGCTCATTAGCAATCCCTTCGCGAATGAGAATTTCTTACGATTCTATACTTTGCAATCTTTGTTCCAACAGCCAATTGCGAGCTCGGCGTTTGCAGGTCTATTACGATTTAAATAGAGTACTGATTGGGGTTAAAAGCTTGCATAAGGCACCATTGTTGGCGACTGCTAAAAACACCCGATACTATAACTCTCAGCCGTTGTCCTGACCGTTCTGAAAATCGCTCGGTTGAACTAAGGATATTAGAAAGCACCTCTGACAGTTTTTGTCTCAAAATATAAGCATTGGGCGCTATAACCTTCTCGATTTTCAATAGATTTCCCAGATACGGAACAGACATGAGCATAGGCTGGCACTGGTAACGACGTTTCAACCCAGTTGTACGTCGGTATCATATTTTGAGCAATTTGGTCAGATCGTTGCATTGGAAACGCGCAATACATTTGCCTCTGAATGCATCAGGATGCTGGAATCACATGGAGCGAGGGGGGGAAGAGGGTGCGTTGGCGCTGCAAGGAAAGTGCCCGAGAAGATGAATTATCAGTAAGCAGTATGACAATTTGTTATGCTAGAAACTGTCGTTAGAAGCATTTGGTCAGCTGTTGAGGTGTTGAAAGCAACATTAGTCACACAACACTTGTTTACGGCTGTCTAGTTTCAGTTTGTCTCTTTCCTACATCGAGTTATTTAAATAAGTTGCGTCCCATTGTTGGCTGTTCCGATCCGTCTTCTTAACATGCGTCCGGGCGACCGGTTGGATACCCTTCGCTCGGAGGGGGGTCAGTTTTAACTCTCCCCGAGATTTCAGAAACTAATAGAGCTAGAGACACTAAATTCACAGAGTTGTTGGTCTACACGTGAACTCCCTAGGTCAAAGTTTGAGCTTCCTAAATCATGATCTTGGGGGAAAGTTGGGTCAAAGAATTTCAAACGCCAGGTTGTTCTTCAAAGCTCCCAGAACCTAAATGCCTGTTCTACGCAAAAAGCCGCGTGCTCCTTTAAGGTCCGTGACCTTGTTTAATTTTTGAAGTCATGGTAATCAAATTCATACAAGACTGCTTTTAATTTTGCATTTGACTAAGCGATAAAGATGATGCCAGGCAACATGTTCCTAAAAACCAACTATTGCCTGGGTCGTTTTAGGTCAGTGATCTATTCTGACCTTTAAGAAGTGCATAGAAAATGTATGGTACGTTTCCTGTTATAAATTATTGGAAATGAGCACCAGAAACTACTCCATGCAGGAAGCCCTGGAGTAATAGAACAGACTGGTTTAACCTTGGTCTGATCATCATGCCTGACCCTACGTCAATGGCATTTACTCATTCAATTGTTGTGTTGCCTAAGAAGGTATTTCAGAGATGTATATCTTCATCTAACACTCCGTTGTTGCACAGATTGAATGATTCCCCAGAAATTGACTTCACGAATCTATGGCCTAACTTTGACCTGCCGTAGGTCAGCGGCGTTATGAGGTACATCCAAATTGCTTATATCAAGCGATCCATTATTCAATTTTCCACAGCTACACAAACTTTGGCGCGACTACACCGCGCAGTTGGGAAACCATTCTGGAAAAACCCTCGGCGGGTCATTTTGACCCCCGCCCGAGCGCGTGTTAACAAAAGGTTGTCTGAAATATACGCGATGAGCGACGAAGCAGTGCACTCTTGTTTCTCTCTGCATGCTGTAAATGTGCAAGACTTCTTGCGATCCGAAAGCAATGGCTTTAGTCAGAGTTGAGATAGGTTACAGCTTATCATGGCCGCAGCATGTTGGCACATGAGTGGGTGCGTGTGTGAGTTCGATTGTGTGTGATGCCACAATGTGAATGCAATAGAATTCACCGAGATGATCCCTTGACCGATGTGTGTGTGTTAGGCTATTTTTACTAGGTTTCACATCCTAGCTTTTATGCCCGTTGTTATCAATGATGACGTGTAACTCCGTAATTCCGTTCATTCCGTGAAAGCATCGGCTGCAGGAAAACTTCTGGCGAAGGCAAGCATCTCTGCTCGCTGCTCTTCCAAACACTCGCCAGCGGAGAGCGTTATCCGCACGTTCTTCATATTTAATAATCCAGCAGACGCTTACGAAGATCCCCTAGTGAGATCTAATGCCGAGAGGAGTAGCACGAGCTGCTCGAGCAGGTGCCTGGAGCCGGGTCGATACTGAGCCGCAGAGGCGTACGACCTCACGAGGGGGGAATGCCAAGCCTCCGTTTAAGATGGATCATTTTCCCTGCTTTTCGGAGGATTGATGTTAAGCTACTTCGAAAGCGGAGTGGTCATGGTGCCTGGCCAGCCCCGTCCAGCCCTCTTATCACACATGAAGGGAGGCGTGCCGTGCGTCGCGAGCTCACCAGAAGCCCGCCATCTGCGGCGAGGATCCCCAGAAGCCTGCCATCTGGGGCGAGAGTCCACCAGAAGCCCGCCAATCTGGGCGAGAATCCACCAGAAGCCTACATCCGTGGCGAGAATCCACCAGAAGTCTATCATCCGGGGCGAGAGTCCACCAGAAG